CCAATATAAATATGAATGGCTATGAAATCACAGATTTCAACCTCAGTCATATTTATGGATTTTCCCGTCACTTGTACTTAGTATAGATTTGTGTTTTCCATATACGTAACTGTAGGAGGTCATCAGAGATGAGCATTTTGAAATATTCCGTAGGTGACTTCATTACTGTCGACAACGTGAAATTGTTGCCGGGTATGTCGACAGGAAAACTGAATTTTCCATTGGACGGGGGTGTGTTGGAGTGTTTGCGAACTGAGGGACAGGTGTCTTGAATACGAATGCTTCACAGTTATTGTCACCTCCTTTCAAAACATCCTCGGTGTCGGTATAAGAATAGCTCAGAATGGAATCTAATTCTTCAGCTACGGAATCAGAAATAGAGGGTGCTTCGAATGTATCAGAAGAATACCTGTCACCATTATCCTCAAAATTATCTGCATCATCATGTTCCACCATCCGAATCAGGAGGTGGCAGTAAGGCTATTATCTTGTCTTTCCGTGTGGTCATTCTGTAAAATAAAGATTGATACTCATCTACCAAGTTTGAGTATTTCTCACTCATGATTGTGTATTTTCAACAATTTGGGAATAACGAACTCATATTAAAAATTTGACAATGAAGGCAATAGGATACACATTGAGGTTCATATGAAATTGTGAGAACTTGGCAATGTGTATTAATGGATACAAAATAAATTTGACATGGACATTCGAGAAATTGGTAATGTGAACTATAGGATACATACAAAACAAATTCCTTTTTCTACAGAAAAACTGAAATTGGTAACAAAATTTGTATTTATCCTTACGAAGACAACATGTATCAACAAAACTTACCTACTATTTTTCCAAAGAATCTGATTTTTTGTGAGAAACTGAGCAAAACTTAAACAGGCACCAAGATCACGTGTTTCTCGCCGTGGTCATCTTACTACATCCTAGTACTAGTTCGCATCCGCGTCGAAATATGGCGTAAGTAGTTACCAATTATGTTCAATTGAAATGTATTTGAAACCATAGCAAGTTGAATTCACTCGATGTCATGTCATTTTTGACAGAATTATGTGGTTCGAATATTATGTATCTTATAGATTGCATTGCAAAATCAAGGGTTAAAGAAGACTCCATTTATTGTCATGATTTTCGCTACGTGTCTCGCCCGCCTCGCTAATGACATTTTAGCGGCTACTAACTTTCGTATACTGTCTAAACAGTGTTGTTTGGCAATCAGTAGCACTCCTTGACTCAAATCGTGACGGATACGTCGTGATTTGACGGCTATTTGCTGCACAGAAAGCCCCAAAGGACTGGTGGCCGTATTGTGATCTTAGGCTCCATCTGGTGTTACCGCGGAATGATGCGATTGTTTTCAACACCAGGAAGTATGCATTCTCTCCATGTTTCTTCTTCGCATGGGGTCACTACTCTCGTGGCCACGCATAGGACTATCCTTTAGCACATGTGTCCACTCCTATTGAACTGCGTTCGTCGTTTGGCAAATTCTCGTCCTAGGCTCCATCATATGCTATTGACCCCTACTTAGAGGAAATCGATTGGAAAGACCTTTTTCTTTGATTTTCCGTAACCAAGTGTTGAGTTTATCGGGTGATTAACCCACGGCTGGAATCGAAAGGTGAAATGAGTTCTACCTTCCAGGTGCGCCTGAGCTGGTGGTTGGTTGCACCATTTACGATAAGAAATATATTGGTCAGACTGAATAAGCCATTGAAACTCGCCTCAAAGAACACGCAGCAAATATCTGAACCCGACTGACATGCCTTGTAGAATAGCCACAGAATAAATTATTGACACTGTTTGAATTTGGTACATGACAATAATAGACCTTTAAATACTTTTGAATGTCGGAAGATAGAAAAGTGTAGTATGAAAGCTTCGAACCTTGACAAACCTCCTTCCCAAACAGCCTTTAAGTCATACCTGAAAGAATTATTCACTCTTTGGAAAGTTACTAGGAACTTTCGTGAAAAAATGTCGTACAAACGTTGTACCCTAGAAATCATTGATTTGTAACGAAAAAAGAAGACCAAAATGTACCCTGTGAAATGATAATAGAAGAGGTAAGTTCACTTCATCTAGTTGCCTAGTTATTTGGTGAAATGCGCATCGAGAAGAGTTTCGCAGTTCTGGTGTTCAAAAGTGGTGACTATTTTAGATCTACCTTCCAGAATATTCATATCACAATTGATTTGGATTTGCGTTGATTTGGTATTAGCTTTTTTTCCCATATACGACTTACAAGAAAAAAAATATTTGTTTTTTGTACTTTAGTCGAGCTCTATATTTTCATCAATTATTGGAATGAGTCTACCTATTGTAACTCAAATAAATTATGGCTGAATCAGTTTCTTTGTATAATATTTCAGAATGTTATATCGAGAGTATGAAATAATTAACTTATAAGATTGCTACTCTTTTGTGTCAGAATCTAACAAAATATAAAAATTCAAGTCTGATTGATATCAGTGTATCATGAAACTCCTTCACTATAGAAAATATCAGTACAATGTCATTAATAAACAAGCCTTCAGTGATATAATTCTTTCTCAGTTTCGGTCAAATGGCGGTGTAATATAAGACACATTCCACATAAAATAATCAAAACTCTTTTGAATTCTTCAAGTACTCGATTGAAATATCAACATGTTTAATACACGCCAAATTTCGATCAACGAATCATGTAATTTGTAGGATCACATTTTAAATCACCACACCCAAGAGACAGAATGAGATATCAAGGTTGCTGTTCATTGTCACAGAAGAATATTCGTCATTTATTTTTAAATTGATGTTATTAACTATTCGACTCCAGAAGAACAAGTCAGAGTGGACATACCCTGACATGGTGAATGGTGAGAAATATTCTTTTGTGACCTTCAAAGAGTATGGAAATTCAGTACATTCAATATCACAGACAAGCGAAGAAATAATTTTAACGCATTTCAGCTCTCCTTCAGAAGAAACTCTATAGACATAAAGATGTAATTGTAATGTCATATAATGTAATCGAACATATAGTTATTGATGAGTAGGTTTTTCTGTAAACTAGAAGGCATAAATCTGTAAAAAAAGTTCATTCATTAATATTTTTGTATAGATTATGCATGATACAACAACTTTTAAAATCAAAATTATCCAAATTCTTCAAATGACGTTTTAGAAATGCTGTGTTCACATTTTGATTGATAATAATCAAAAGTAACCCCTCTGAGTCTCGAACGGGACATGCCATCATGATCAGATGGAATTCACGTAAAACGGCATTATTCTGTTCTGATAAGATAGACAATAGGGTGCATCACTTGTCGAAAGGACACTTCCTTCTTATTTCAACCGTCTATTCAATAGTGACTTATTTTTGAAAATCAGTCACAACTAGATAATCACTAGCTTTCATAGATCTTTATTTGCTTCAGTTACATATAATGTACATATATAAACTCCGAAGAGTGTGGAACATGTCAGTAGTAAATAACAACTAAATAACAAATCAAAGTTTTACATTCATAACCAATATTATCTCACGAGTAGTTTTAAGACACAAAAAAAACAATATATACAAAAATCAGGCATATGTAAATAAGATTCATATAGTAAGCATACTATCATTTAAGAATTCCTGCAAGCTATAATAAGGTTTTTTTACGAGATAGCTCTTCAAACGACATTTCATTGTTGAAATTGAAAGATTACTTAGAGTGAGCGGAAATTTATTGTAAATGTTTATAACGCTATATTTGACATTTCTCTGTATGTATGTATAGTTTCATTTCTCATTTCTAAGATCATTCTTTGTTCTGGTGTTGTATAAGTGATCCTTTTCACAGTTAATGAAAAGTTCTGATTTGTTTTCTGTTACAAATACTACTGCTTCATATATATATAGAGATTTATCAAAGTTAAAACTTTGCTCCTAATAAAAGCTTCTCTGCAGCTATCGTTTTTTTTTCATCTTATAGATATACCTGATACATTTTTTTGTAGTATGAGTATCCTAGAGATACCAACAGAGTTTCCCCAGAATATTATTCCATATTTTATTCTAGATTGAATATAAGCACGGTATGCAGAGAGGGCAGCTTCAGTTGAGACATGTTCCGACAGTATTCTCAATGCATAGCAATATTTTGAAATATTTTTTGATAAGTAGTCTATGTGATTTTTCCAGTCCAGTCCCCTATCTATCAAGAGTCCCAAAAATTTTACCTGATTGCATATGTTTATATTTTGATTATTATATACAAAGTACTAACATCGAAATTTTTGGCTTTCTACTACTTTTTAAAAATGTTGAAATCTCCCAAAGAAAGGAAGGAAGCAATCAATTTCACAAGAAGTGACTCTATACATAGGTGTAAGTGAAATTTCTAACTTTCATTTAGTATATTGTGTAGGAATCCTGTGAATGATATCTTATTCAATTTCATTACGAATGTTTGGAATAGAAACTGGGTTAAGAAAAGTGTTTTTTGTATAATTCAGAGTTTATATTGAAGTTTTTGTTTCGAAAGAAATTTTTTCCGTGTAATTCAATGTTGACATAAGAGTAGCTGTTTCAGGAGGGCTTTTTCTTTCAGTTTGTGCCTGAAAGTCACTTCTTTGCTTTGTTGGCATCGCATATAATTTCTAAAGTGAAATCTATGAATTTCAATAAACAATAATATGGGTTCGTATTTGAAATGCAACACTTTTACATGTGAATAAAAAAAAATCTCAGTTTTCAAGAAATTATTCAATCCGCAAATTCTTTTTCACTCTACCTCAAATACTGTTTTTCAAAATATCATTCGATACATCGTATGTTTTTCAGTCAATATCAAAACAACATTTTTGTACAGTTTTCAATTTATTTTGATGAAACAGAAATAGTGCTATAATTCATTTGTTTTCGAAACACGCCTCATTGTGTCTTTTTCAGTACAGCTTCAACTTGAATAAAAATAATCAAGCTGTTTCATTTTATTCGGAGAATAAAAACTTAGTTCCAATAAATATTTTATTCAACATCAAATCAGTGATAAAGACCGTGGTGAGCGACAATAGTAGAAACAGGAAGTAATTTTCCAGTGGCAACAGTTCCAGAGGGACCAGTCACAACAGTACTCTCATGAGCCAAAGTTCTTCCAGCTACCAATCCCACAGGGTGGGCCACCAAAGCAGGAGCAGCGTAAGCAGTAGCAACAGGAATGTGGTGAACACCAACAAGAGGAGCGGAATGAGAAACAACAGTGTTAGCATGTTCAGATACTACGGTTTTCGTAGCAACAGCTGGAATGGCATGGGTTGTGACGACAGGAGTAGCTTCAGCTTTGATAACTGTATCTTCATGAGTTTCTTCAGCGTTAGCGGCTTCGGCAACTACGGTCTTGGCAGCGACTACAGGTTCAGCTTCAACAGCAGCAACTGGAGCAGCTACTACTGCAGCCACTTCCTGTGCAGCAACCACAGGAGCGGAATATACTTTGGCAACTGGAGATGGGTGAACAATTGACTGAGAATGTTCAGAAATGGTAGTTTTGCTTCCGATAACTGCAGCTGCTGCTACTGGGGCCACATGGGCAGTCACTACTGGGGTTTCCACAATAGTTTTAGCTACTACTGGGGTGGAAACCACTGGAGTGTGTACCAATGCCTCTGCATGTACAGGAACTACTGCTTTAGCAGTGATTACTGGTGCAGCATGGGCTACCACAGCTGGTTCAGCATGTGCCAAGATTGTGGCATGGTCCTCTGAGATTATTTGCCCACCAGGTTGGAAAGAATCGATGATGCTACCGTCTGGGCCAACTAGAGTTGTCCTGGAACTTGGACCTTGCAGTACTCTCGCTGAGGGTACGATGATTCCAGCGTTTGCCAGAGCCAAGGTTTGGAGTACTGCGAAGAGAACCTGGAAAGGAAGAGAGTGTTAGTTGTTTGTCTTGTATATATTGAGAAATATTGATACTTATTGCAATGTTCATCAACAAAAACAAAATGTTCACAATGAATTTGAAATTTCAGTTGAATTTGCGAAAATTTTATGACTATGATAAGAATAATATACAGGTTGTTTCCTAACTACGGTACGAAACTTCAGGAGGTGATTCGTTGGGTCGTTGTGAAAAGTTTCTCACCAACATATGTTCGGAGTTGCTTCGTTTCTGAGATACAGGGCGATGAAGTTTGAAAAAACAGTATATATGGAATATCATGAATATCCCCAAATCAATTTGGTTGAAATTTGCTCCGGTTATTGAAAGTGATGAGGTGCCCTGACGACAACCAACAGTATTGGGAAAAATACGTACGCCACTGACTTGTTGTAGTTTTTCATTTTTCTTTGAAATATAAAATGAAAAGACAGTTTTTGTCGCTGGTGTTTTCTTCGTATCAAGCTTCGTTTTTTAAATAAATGAACCACTTTGCATATTAGGAACATCTGTTTTGGAGACCAACTGACAGTGATAGTGATAGTCATATCAATGAAAGTGAGAGTTGTTAATTAGCAGTGATTCTATCATAAATGATTCAACTAACGTTGCATAATTTACCGAGACAGATATCTCAACAGTTATTCCATGTGCTAAAACATTCAGAACGTTACATGCAAGATTTAATAGTTCCAATAAAAACGCAGGTGGTAGATGACCAGAAACTGTAACAACGCCTGAACTAGGAGAAGCATCACTTGATGCGATAGAAGAATATCCTTAAAATAGTACCAGGAAGACTGCACATCAGCTGGAAGGTAGCCCAAAAACCGTATGAACGGTTCTAAAACGAAACCTTCTATACCCATCAATAGCGGGTCCAAACTCTACTGCCTCGAGTGGTTGATTCGTACAATAGCACACAATAATAATTTTTCACCAAATATTTCATTTACGGACGAAGAAATTTTTCACGAGATGCCATCATGAACTTTCACAATGACCCTTTTTGGGTCGACGAAAATCCCTACGTTATTAGGGAAAGCCATTTTCGCTGAAAGTTCGGGTAGGAATGATTGGTGATTATCTGAATGGCTTTCTTCTACCAGCAATATTAACAGTTGAATCCTACATGGAATTTTTGCGAGATCATTCACCCAGTTTGTTAGAAAAAGTGCCGGTACTTGTAAGAGGCAACATATGGTTTATGTATGACGGTGTTTCTACTCATATTTTATTGTTGTTGCTTGTCAGCATCTTGACATCTCCTACCCCAACCGCTGGATTGGAAGTGCAGGACCTCAAAATTGGCCAGCTCGCAGTCCTGATATGAATTCTTTAGATTTCTATTCATGGGAGCATATGATAGCTCCTGTTTATAACACTCCTGTACTAGATGTGAATGACTTGAGGAATCAATTGCAATGTCATAAGGAATACTCCAGGTATTTTTGAACGTGTCAGACAACTGATGAAAAATCATCGTGTAAATAGTTGTATATCGTGACATTCTGCTCATTCACTTCAAGGTCTAAATTGTTCATTATTTAATCTTGTGTGTTTTTTTCTCGAAAACGAAACTTGATATGAAGAAAACACAAGTGACGGTAAAGTTGTATTTTCAGATGCTTACTGAATTGAAAACTTCAAAGGATTCAATAATATTGACTGTGGTGCTTACTGAAACGCTACTGGACCTAATAAACTTCAACGCTCTGTATCTCAGAAAAAAGGCATTTGCGGACATATGTTTGAATGATCTAACGCATTACTGTCTGAAGTTTCGTATCGCAGTTGTATGTACACTTCGTTAACTTCCTGAAAAGACTTTGATATCCATTTCTGCACTGGTAGTTTATTGTGGATATTCAATAGGAATTGAGTCAAATGAACTCTCATCAGAATTTTGGGATGAACGAAAAGTCAAGTTTCTACAAAAAAAAATTAAAACTTGGAATAATTGAACAATATCAGCAGAAAGTGAATCTTACACCTCAGGAATATGATATTACAATGAAAACAAGTAATAATTTTTCATAAAAAGAGATTTTCAAATGCAAAGTTCACTGACTTCGAGAGGAATTCGACTCAAAAAATGGGAATGGAAGAAGTCAATTTCAAAGGGTTGATTTCTACGTAATGACAAAATGATTGAATATTCAATAAGAATAACAAACTGTTTTAAATAATGATCCCAATCCTCAATCATTTCATTACTGAAGCTTCATCTGGTACTTTTCTTGATAAAATTGAGATATATACACGTATTATGGCAATATTATCCAAAGTATCAAAAATAATAACTCCACAATGATACTTACAAAGTAAGCCATGACTATCAACCCAATTTGTCACTGAGATAACTGGTGCTGGAATCATGATGACGCGGTATTTATATGCAAGTATTTCGGAGGTAACCTTGTTTCCTACATGCGTATTCAATTGGGTGATTGATCTGTTCATGAGGAATTAACTTTAACTTTTTTTTAGACTGAATATACCATAAAAGGATCCACCAACTATTTATATTCATGCCATGTTTTTGTCATATTTTATATGTCTCAGATCGTAGATAGTAATATTTTTATTGGGTATTGCAAAAAAACAGCGGATTTTAGTAAGTAATAATGCAGATTTGAAACTCTTGAAGAGCATTTGAGTTCCCTTTCCATTATTTAGCATGTGTACCATCGACAACATCTCCAGGATAAATGAGATTGTTAACACATTTTGAGCCATTTTCTCTGAAAGAATCGAATTAGACTGAAAAGATTCTCAAATGCAATAATATGACTGACTTACAGTGCCTTCCAGTCGAAAAGAGCCATCTTGAGTAAATCATTCGGTATCGACATTCTAGAAAAATCATGAAACACATTAACTTCAGTTTTGAAGGTGTCAAAATATCAACCCCTTGTTGACCACCTTATTCCCATAACAACTCAGTCGAGTGGCACCTTATTTGGTTAGTATCTTAGTTCTGTATTCAACCCTGAGATATTTTCAAATTCACAATGATAATGATTACTGGACTAACCCGTTACTTGAGACAATTCCTGTGCCGAGGAAGCTATGGTGTTAACGAAATGCATTTATAAATGAAAAATTTTTGTGAAAATTGTTTAATCATTATCATAGATAGTATTACAATGATAATGAATGTCAGAAACGAATAGAACAATGAACGATTATGAAATGAGAAGTGAAACTGAACATCTCATCAAATGTTAGAAGTGAGCATCAATAACTTGCATACAATGGTATAAACAAACATTTGGGATCAAAAAAAGTATTGTGAGATATTTTATAATCAAGACAATCCTTCGAGACGTTTACCACTTCATTCATAGCTATAGACCAGATTGATGATATCGTTCTCTTTTCAAAAAATATATGGAAATATTCACAATAATAGTTTTTTGAAAATACTGAATAACAAAATATTGAGGAAACTCTGTTGTGGTTGTGAGATTTTTGTCATTGTGCAGTAATTCATTTCGTGTGCTAATTTTGATGATGGCTTTGTTATTCATTTAATGCTGTGCGTAATGAATGAATGAGTATTGTTATCGTTTTTGCATCATGGCTCATTTTTCAATCACATAAGAAAATAGTCAATTTTCATTATGTGACTTTGACAACAATAGCTTGTATGTTAGACTAGTAACACCATCTTAAACAATGAATATTACTGGAGTTTCTTCACAACATCAAACCGTTATTTTAACACCTCGACACGTGTTTCGATCACCAAGTAATCATCTCTTGAAGATGACCACTTGGTGATGGATCATTCCTTGAAGATGATCACTTGGTGATGGAAACACGTGTCGAGGTGTTAAAATAACGGTTTGTTGTTGGGATCATACTCCAGTAATATTCATTACTACACCAAAGGTTCCTAACAGTGCATCCCAAGTATCATCTCAAACAACAGTTTTCCAAGATCCTGGCACGGATCGTTCTGTTAGCCCTGATTGTATTTTGCATTTCTTGTACAAGTACAAGTTGGATTAAATTTCTTTGATATCATGTGAATCAAGGTAGTCACAACCAAAGGAGTTTGAGTATGGAATGAATAGCAAAGTAATTGACTTTGACAACAATAGCTTGTATGTTAGACTAGTAACACCATCTTAAACAATGAATATTACTGGAGTTTCTTCACAACATCAAACCGTTATTTCAACACCTCGACACGTGTTTCGATCACCAAGTGATCATCTGTTGAAGATGACCACTTGGTGATGGATCATCTCTTGAAGATGATCACTTGTTGATAGAATCACTTGTCGAGGTGTTAAAATAACGGTTGGTTGTTGGGATTATACTCCAGTAATATTCATTACTACACCAAAGGTTCCGAACAGTGCATCACAAGTATCATCTCAAACAGTTTTCCAAGATCCTGGTACGGATCGTTCTGTTAGCCATGATTGTATTGTGCATTTCTTGTACAAGTACAAGTTGGATTGAATTTCTCTGATATCATGTGAATCGACATCAGTCAAGGTAGTCACAACCATAGGCGTTTGAGTATGGAATGAATAGCAAAGTAACCAAATGTCTAGGAATAATCACAATAATGTGTTTTTGAATACTCATTGAATAAAAGATAAAGAAAACTCTTGCACGGTGGTTGTGAGATTTTTGTCATCGTGTAGTGATTTATTTTCTGTACTGAAAATAATTCGTTAAGAGGTCTAGTTTCTCATATTAATAATGTGTCGAATGTTGATGAAGGGTTTGATATTTTTTTATTGCTGTGCGGAATTTTGTTGATGAATGAACGTTGTGAATATTGTGATCAATTTTCAACATGGTTGCCAATAGATGCCACCTCGAAAAAACACCATATCTCCAGGAATAAATAAGTGAGATAGCATTTACGATGATCCCGAACAGAAGCAAAACAGTGAAGTTGATTTCAAAATGAAAACATATTCACCTATAATTAGTAAATATGTAAGTGGTGAGGGAAATCAAAGCACAAAGTTTTCTCAAAGGAGTAAATTATTACTGATATCAGAAATATTGATGTTTTCAACTTATTACAGTAGTCAAATTGAAAAGAACTTTCCGATACTTGATGAAAATCCATATTAAAACTATTCAATACAGTTTATTGTAAGTACGTTCAGTTGTTGCGGTTTTTGTAAAACTCTTTTATAGAGAAAATCATGCAATAAACTGTATTGATTATTTTCAGTATTGATATTGACCCTCTGTGGTCGCTCCTGATGGATCTGTTTCTGTTTAAAATATGTTTTTCCGTTAACCAGCTGTCGCACCCCTATTAACGACAACCCTCAGAAGTTGAAACTTGTGCGAGCTGATGACTAACGAGGTCTTACCTTCTAACATGTGATTCCTAACACGCATAGTCTGCTTGATGCCCTCGACAGAAGAAAACTTTATCTGCAAGCATATGCAGATGACCATGTCATCCTGGCAAGGTCCACGTCGGGAAGGGTAGCTTGTAATATCCTCCAAAGCATGTTGGACGTTGTTCACATTTGTTGCTTGAAGGAGCAAATATCTGTCAATCCCTGCAAAACTGTTTTAATCCCCTTCACCAAGAGGAAAAAATTGGACGATCTAACGCCACTTTCACTCAATGGTGTGGTCATTCCATTTGGAACGGAGGTAAAATATCTTGACATTGACTTCGATAAAAGAATCACCTGGAACGCTCACTTGGAAAAAGTTTCACACGAAGCCAGACTGTCTCTATGGACATATCGAAGGATTTGTGGTAAAACTTAGAGTTAAGGTCCCAAACAAATCCATTGGATTTATGTGATGATTATCAGACCAATGATCACTTATGGTGCAATTGCCTGGTGACCGAAGGCTTCATAGAAAACGGCCTAAGCGAGGCTATCTGGCTCACAGAGACAGGCTTGTCTAGCTATCAGTGGTGCCATCAGTAACACACCGTCTGCGGCCATGGAAATCCTTCTAGATCTACCTCCTCTCCACATTTTTCTGGAGAGAGAGAGGCTAGCTGGACTGCATAAAGACTTGTGCACTATTGCCAATTGCACAAATCAGTTCAATGCAGAATACAATAGACTCTTGGCTGACACTGGAAGTCACAGCTTTCTGGAAATGACCTCTGGCTTTATGCATCTATCTGTCAACTACAAACTGCCTTATAAAGTACTATTCCCGAGTAGAGAGGACGGGATCATCCTTGAGAAGGAAATATTAAGAGCAGATAGTTATTGGTTCACAGATGGATCAAAAACACCTTCCGGTTTTAGTGCAGGTGTTTTCAGTCGCAGACCCAGGACAGAGATATCAACCTTCCTATGCAACTATGCCCATAGAACGAACCTACGCAATTGTATTCCAAGCGGAAATTTACGCTATTGAATTGTGTGCGGAGAGATTGGAAGAATCCAACCTCCTACACAAGTCAATAAAAATATTCTCGGACAGTCAAGCGGCGTAGGAAGCTTTTGGCTCCTACTGAGTAACGTCTAAATTGGTAGAAATCGCCAAAAACGACTCTCCTCGATAGGAATACTCAACATATTGTCTTTGGTCTGGATTCTTGGCCATACTGGTCTGGAAGGCAGTGAGGCTGCTGACTCCCTTGCAAAGGAGGGTGCTGTAAGCAGCTTTATCGGACCAAAACCTGTCATTGACATCGCTTCAGGCTTTGCCAAGCAAACATTGAACTCCTGGATGGCAAGAAGATTTATGGACTTCTGGCAGAATCTTTCAGAATTGGCTCATTCCAAAGCGTTTATTCACCCTTCGAAGCTTGATACCAAACAGTTGTTGGACTACAGTAGGGATGAACTACGATGTTTAACAGGCCTTCTTACAGAACACTGTCATTTGAGTCATCCTATGCAGAGACTCGGACTGTCGGAAGACAATGTGTGTCGCCTCTGTTTGGAAAATGACGAAATAGCAGAGCACATACTTTGTGCCTGCCCCGCTGGGGACCGAATCAGGTTTTTAGGGTTCGGCAGAGCCGTACTCTTACCATCTGACACACTCATCATACCAACTAATCGGCTTCGTTAAGAAGCTGGGTTTATTTGGTGGAGTGTCACTTTGGATATAACCTAACCTAAACTAAAAAGCGAAGGGTGAACATATCTAACGAACCTAACTTAACCTAGAATGATGAGTTGTAATGTGATTTTAATAACAGACAATCTGTCTGTTTAAAATCTGTTTTTCCATTAATCAGCTGCCGCCCCCATACGAACGACAACTCTCAGAAGTTGAGAAACTTGTGCGAGCTAAGGACTAACGTGGTCTTACCTTTTAACGTGTGATTCCTAACACGGTTGCAGAATCATCTCAGCTTCAACCAGATAAATTCTCTCGAGAAAAATATCTGGTCGAGGCAGATATAGTTACGAGGTCTGATCATTTATTTTTATGTGGGAGGTTTTATGT